ACTTTTAACTTATAAGTCAAAGCAGTTATTTTTTATTTACCCCATTAAATTTAAATATCTTGATTCCTAACAATCCCAATGTTTTTAAATTAATGGACCCCAGGCAAACTTACTTTATATTATACAAGTAATAAAAATTGTTTTGGAAAAAGTAAGTAAGTAGGATGTAGGGATGACAATGCCAAAAAGTGCAGAAACAAGGAAGGGATGAATACATAAAAGCATATAAAAATCCCAGTATAAGAGGCCAGTAAATACTGAGTCAAGATTATGGTTATAAGTCACTGTAAGAGTGAATAGCACTATTCAGTTTAAATGCTTTTATTCAAACCTCAATTCATGCAACTGACAGGCAGGGCCAGATTTAAACGGGTGAGACCGAGGCCCCCACAGAAATGATACTGTGGCGGATACCACAAAACACTGTGTGTCTGTGTGTGTATATATTTATATATACAGAAAAATAAAAAAAGTAAAACAGAAATAGATTAGTTCATATACATGAATTTTACTAATTAAATCTCATATGTTAAAAATTATTTGCTAGTCAACCACTAATTGATTTTTTTCTTTTTCAGGTAAATATGAGTGACCAACACATAACTCCACAGGCATATCAAAGTGGTACAGAAAAGCAGAAATTAGCTAAAGAACATGAAAAGAAACAACAAGAAAGTGTTTCAAAGGTACTAAGAATTAGTGATTACTTCATGACCTTAAGACAGCCTTGTGAAGCAATTTCATCAGTACCCACAAAAAAAGTGGCAACTCCTCCTCCACCTGTTACTGAAGAAATTATCTGGGATATATGAGAGCAAATTAGGAAAGGAAACAGAGTTAATTCAAGCAATTTCAGACTTGTCTCCTGTAGTGTTCGTGACAACCATAGTTTGAACTTAGCATGTCTTCATGCTACAAGTCAGGAAGCAACAGTTATTACCTTTTTTGGTATAATTGGAGTCACTTATAATTTCTTTGCTCATTCAACAACTCGATGGGACGAACTGCAGCAGGAGCTTAAGATCTCTGTCATGTGTGAATCAGAAACATGGTGGAGTGCAAGAGAAAAGGCAATAAAAGTTGTACATGAAAAACTGGATGAATTGCTAGGACTGTTAGACCAATTAAGTGAGAATGGCAACATGGCTGAAACAAAATGAGGTGCTCATAATATTTTGCAATGCATGCTTACATTTGATTTTCTTGTACTTTTACATTTTTGGAGAAATCTTTTATCATCTATCAATTGAGTGCAGAAACGTCTTCAGAACCCAAAACTGAATTTTAGAGAAGCAGCTGCTGATCTTGATTCTTTGAAAGAGAAATTGATAGAATCATGTGAAAAGTCCTGTAAAGAAGCACTTAAAGTGGGCAACAATCAATGTGAAACATGGGGATTGACCACTGAAAGAAGAAAAATATGTTGTAAACGAACATCAGGTGAAAATGCAGCTGATGCTGGATTGACTACTGAACAGGAAATTTATCGCATCATGAAGGATGTTATTGATCGCTTGATTACAGAAATAACAGGAAGATTTTCTCGCTTATCAGATTTAGATTCACAGTTTAGATTTCTATTAGATGTGCAAAATAATGTTCTGACTTAGCAAAGAGCTATCCAGGTGATATTGATGGACCAGAATTGTACAGAGAAATTAAAGACTGTAGAATGTTGATAAGTAAAAGAACACAGACCGATTTCCTTGAACTAATGGTTGCAACTGATTTGCTAACATTTATAATTTCATATGGTGAAGATGTTTTCCCAAATGTAAGAATTGCATTGCAGATTTTGTTAACAATTGGGGGTTCTATTGCTAGTTGTGAAAGGTTCTTCAGCAAGTTGAAATTAATTCTTACATACTTGAGAACCTCAATGACTCAAGAACAACTCAGTAACTTGGCAATATTAAGCATTGAAAAAGACATATTTAATACCTTAAATTGTGATAATTTAATTGATGCATTTGCATCTGCAAAAGCAGGAAAGTTTCATATAATGTAACCATGAATACCAGAATGCTACCTGTACAAGATCTAGTTAAGTATATGTACAGTTTTGTAAACTAATAAAATTTGTTATTTGTAAACTTGTCAATCTGTTTTATAATCCATGTACACCACAAGTGACTGGCTTCTCACATAAAACATAAGTTTCAAAACTAGGGATATAACAGAAATTTATTCTGCATGCTTGAAAGATTACTCAAACTATGTGATTTTGAACAATACTGGATGACAAATATCAAAATGGTTTACAAATTACATAAGTACACCTAGTAAGCTATACTTCATTAGTTCCAGGTTTACAGTTGTAATATTGTGATATGTTATATTGTGACTTTATTTTAGGCCTGTGTAAGGCAGTAATTAATTCTTTATGTTACTGTCAAAACATTTTAGATGTGGGGGCGCCAAAAGTGTCTTTGCCTCAGGGTGCTGAGAACCCTTGCTATGCCACTGACTGTTACATCTGTAAATTTGTGGCTACTCAGAAAGGAAAACTATCCAGTAACGGATTTTGTGACTGGATCTATGAAAATGAATGGTTGACTGAACATGAGAAATCAAAATCTCATCTGGAATCTGTACTGATTTTGCCAAAAGGTGGAAAGGTATTTGGGTGCATTGACCAGGATTTGGTTAAAACAAATAGTAGAACTGAGTGGATATTGATGCAAGGTTCACATGCATGTTACAAGTACCATCAAATTCACTGCTAAATGTGGATTGGCTTTTCAAGGTACATATGAAGTGACTGGATCACCAACAAATGGAAACTATCTTGGCATTCTGGAATTGCTAGCAGAATATGACAAATTACTTACTCCTCACATCAAACTAAATGCAAATAAAGGTCACACAAAAATGAATTAGTACAGTTTGCTGCCATTGTAAAGCTTTACAAAGAAGACTGCAATGACGATATGCCAAAGGAACTGTTCTTCAAAAAAATTGTTGTTGAGAAAGATTTCAAAGCAAAATTTCCAAATGTTGAAATTGCTCTGAGAAGGTACTTGGTGCTGGTGGTGTCCAATTGCAGTGATAAATGGTATTTTTCCAAGACGAAGGGTTGGCTTCCTAAGGACACTGATTGTATAGTGTACAAAGCATTGAATATTCTACATGTTACATTCATCTAATGTTCATCTACTACTGACTGGTAATTCCTGTTTCACCCTGTACTTAAGCATTTTAAAGAAACATCAGATTTCTGTAAACAAAATTAACTTTGAGGAGTAATGATACAATCATTTACAGCAGAATTATGATTTTTTTTTTAAATTATACTAAGTACTACCATGTTCCTTTTCTGTTGTACTAAAACCATTGCAAAAACTTCACATTTTTTGGGTAATGTGGGACAAGAAAAAAGAAAGATGAACATTTTTGTTCTTTAATTACACCCAATTCTCCACATTAGCAACACTTTTCAATGATAGAGTCTCACAAACTGTGAAACACTTAATAATGGCAATTAGGTGCTCAAATAAAGCTATAATTCAACCATAGCAGTTATTTGTAAGTATCATAGAGTAACAGATTGAATGTGGCAGCCATTTTTTCATGGCCCATCACTACATAGATATAGAAGTATAAAGAAAGATAGGTGTGTATATAACTGGCATCCTAAATTATTAGCCAACAGTCCTATCACTTATAACATAAGTTATAAAAAAAAAGAACAACAACAACAACGATAAAAGAGTAAAACAGAAAGTAACATTTTAATAACACTAGTTTCAATTTTCTTTTCCATTAATTAACAACATAAAACTAAAACTGTTTTTTACATCACAGAACCCAAATATGGTATACCAGCTCTACACTTTATCAACTACTCTGAAAATGTTATTGTAGTGTGGAAACAAATTACAAGTTTTCTTATTTGTACCTGTAACATTGCTTCCATTTCCATATCTTCAGAGAAAGAATCTGAGTCTGAAAATCCTTCAAATGATGTAAAACTCTCATCATCAGACAAGTCAACCACCTGATCTTGGTGTTCAAGAAGCCAACTGACAAGGGCTTCTGCACTAGGAGTACCTCCTGAACTTGTGGCTGAATGTGTAAAAATAAAATACAAAAAATAAAACATTTAATTTTAACAAATGAAAATATGAAAAATTACATTATATTCACCATCAGCAAACGAAAATACAAAAACTTAAATACATTTTACTTTAGTAAATTAAAATATGAAAAATTAAATATTTTCACCTAAAGAAAACTAGAACTTAAATATGTCAGCTTTCAGCAAATTAAAACAAGAAAAATTACATTATGTCCACCTTCAACAACCTAAGAAAACACCATTGTCCACCAAATTAAAATAAACAACAACTGACATTGAAAATTATTTTTCAATTGATCTCAGATCAAGTAGAAGATCAAACTATTATATCTTTTTGAAAATACTTTAAAACTGATATAATTTATAAGTGTGCAGATGAGACTGATACATAATGCATAGTTTTCAAAGAGAAAACCTTAATCTAACTTCTAAGCTTGGATATATTAATTTTTTAATTACTAGCTGCAGCTGGTCCTCAAGAGAATTTTACTTCTAAACTACCACAGAACTTCATTTATTTATAAAAGTAAAACCAGTGGAAAAAAGAAAAAGTAAAATAATTTGAATTCAGTGATCACACCACAAATAATCTTAATATTTGTGCATAAGCAAGAAACTTTCCATCATGTAATGTATAGAAAACATTAGTGTTTGAAGTAGTTTTGTGGAAGGTTTAGTGCATGCAAGAAGCTGTACTCATAACGTAAAACAATCTTACAGGTTGTTAATTATGCTGCTTTTATAAAGTAACATGAAATAATTACATGTTTAAAGCTCCTCAGACATTACTACTTTTCACATGATGTATAAAGTAAATATGAAAGATGTAAGAATTTAAGTAATTAAGATAGAGAATGTTAATGTCCATGCTCATGATTTTAAGATTCAATATAGCCTGTCAAGTTTAAACATGCAGTTTTACAAACTATGTCACAAATATAACTGTTTAACATTCAGCATGGGTGTGCATTTTTGACCCTCTTAGTCAAACATTGCCAGAATGGCCTAGAAAAAAAACAAAAAAGTCATAGAATAACTCTACAATACTCTCTGGATATATTATAATTAAGTCATAGCACATTTGCACCAAAATTATGTCAAAATATGGTAACTGTTTTTTCACATTAAATATCTGAAAAAGTAGCCATAATATAACTGAATCATAACTTATGGTATATTTGTTACTTCCTTACTAAAATCGCAATTTTTATATGATAGTAATTAAAAGAAAAAAGTAAGACATAAGAATATAACTTGAAAAACAATTTTTTTTTAATTATCTTACACAGTGCTTTAACTGCTACTTCTACATTACGTCTTGGAAAACCCATTTCCATCAACTGCTGAACAGCAGGTATGGGTGGTGGTGGTGGAGTGTGAGCTTTATTGCGAGCCTTACGTGGCTTCGGTGGGGCCACTGGTATCTCAGGTTGCTCAACTGAGTTGTCAGTTCCCATACTACTACTTCCTGCATCACTAGTAGGGGTCTGAGCATTGTCCAGATCCTTCTGAGTGGGGCGCTGAGCAGGTCGTGTCGCTTCAGATGTCAAATACTGGAGAACTGCTATACATGATGCCTGTTAAAAATGAATCATTACATATTCTGCACACACATACATTAGAATAAGGAAAAAAATCATCTTTACCTGTTGAAAATGAAACTTAGTTACTAAAGCATACTAAAGGGCATTTTTTTTCTGATGGATGACATGTTTAATTACACAAAGTTTGAATTTATTTCCAACAGTATATTACTATAATAAACTATAAATCTTAGTAAAATACCCATTCGTATATTAACTAATATTTCTGTGGATAAGTATTGTGATGATGTGTACTAAAGATAAATATATATGAGTGTAAACATACTTATACACTGTTATCACATTAATGATAAAAATATACAGTATTTCAATAGTTTAACTCAATCTTAAATAAACTGATATAGAATGTATTCAAAAGTTTATATGATGTTACAAGTGCACTTAAGTACTTATTTAATAGCTCTTAAAAGTTTATGGATGCTATCATATTTGCACAAATACACACATACACAGGTATCATATGGATAGATTTTACCAAAGATTTAGTGATAAAACAAATGCCTTAGACTGCTGACGCTTGAAAGTTCAAAAGCAAATATAAATTCAATACTTACAAATCAGTTTATTACAACATTTTTATATAACAGGGAGTAGAAATATTTTAAAAATCTGGTGACCAATTTCAAATGTAAATGTTGGAAAATAAACTTAATGGGTAAATGTATTGCTGGTTTCAGTTACCACTCAACAAAGCTAAATATTAACATACAAATACTTTCACAGTTCACAAAATAAAATAAATTGAAAGGCACATTTATAAAATAATAAACACTCTTAAACTTGTATATTTACTCTAATTCTTGCTCTTTCTAATTGTATTTAAATTTTTAATAGCTGTTTTCGAAGCTTTGTTTTATTAGTAAATGATCAAACCACTTGATGTGGCACCATAACAAGGTTTCAGCCGAGGTCTATAGAAAATAATTAAAACACTGAAAATCAAGAAAAATATAATATGTTCTCAAGGTGGGATAGGTTCTTAGTAAAAATAAAGTTTATTTTTGGGATGGGTAGACAAATTCTAAAAAAAAGAATCAACAAGTTGGTTATTTACAGAAAAACCCTTCAAAGCTGTGCAGAAATGAATTATATTAAATTCATACAAGATAAATAACCTAGTGCAATAAAATAGCCAATGGATACAGTAAATCATCATGTACCTTATCAGCTAGCTACTAGCTATGTGTATTATCATTACAATGTATGAAGTTAACTACCATATCAAGTAATCCTTTGCCCATAACTGAGCATAAAAAGTGAGCAAAAAGATAAATAAAAACTTGGGAATTTAAAAGCCTGCAAGTAAGGATCGTAAAAAAAATAAGCAAATACGGTTGGAGATACTGCAGACATTAGTTACTCAAACTACAAACCCCTAATTTGGCTACAGAATTACATTTGGTGAAGTCAAAATAGGGATTTGCAGTTTGAGTAAATCACATTAGTTTAAAATGTTAAATCTTAAGCTGTAGATGGAGATTGTCATGGATATTTTTTTAAGAATATAGTAGGCATATATAATTTCTAGGTAACTAAATTCTCTATATATAATTCATAACAATAGGCAAATATATGCCTAGACTAACACACAACCCCCACTAAGAGCATATAAACTTTTATGTCTTAAAAAAATCGCTTTAAATAAACCATCATGTCGTTTAAGGTAAATATTCTATGAATGTGTGTAATACATTTAATACATTATGTGTACTGATTTCTTTTTTATTCCTTTACTTGATAGATTATATAGTGGTTGGCTCTCTAAAGATACTGATTGTTTTGTGTACAAAGAATTGAGTATCTAGATGTTACACTCATCTAACGTTCAACTATTATTGACTGGTAATTCACGTTTCACCCTCTACTTAAGTTTTTTAATGGAACACTAGCTATTTGTAAGAAAGCTAACTTCAATGGATAATGATAGCATCATTTACACTAAAATTATGATGTTTTTAGCTCATTTGAAATACAGAAGAAACAAGTCAACTTTTCAATACTCCTATGACCTTTGCAGTTCCTTATTTACAATAAAGTTTGATGCAATATACCAAGCAATTTTTGTTGCAGCCTGGCAAGAGAATAATAATAAGAAGAATTACAAATGGGCCATTTTGAGGAGATTTTCTTTTCCTTGTAAGTCTAACATGCATGCTTTTTTAGTGCATTTTTATATGTGTACAGCATTAACAGTCAATAGTAAAGATTTTAAAGTGTTGTTTGAACTGAACCTTTACTGTTTAAGGTGCTTTTTGCCCAAATGTTCTATTACAGTTTTGTGTAGTTACTTGTAATCCCTATTATGAACCACTATTGTGGTTCACAATTAGAAAATGACAAAATACCAATTCTAAGATATTTTTGAATTAAAACTGTTGAAACATAATTAAAATTAATGTATACAACTGATTTTAAAACTTGTTTCCCAAACAAATTTTATCAAGTGGTGACAAAATATGAAAAAAGCCAGAGGAAACCTTGTCTTCAGACATCAGGCACAATAATTTAGGATGAAGTTACTTTTTTTACTCATGAACTTCATACATGAAAATGTAACATACATGCAACACAACTGCACTGTTTAACATTTAAAAACAATAAAATATTTATTTAATTATCAGTTACTTGCTGAAACAATAATGTGTACACATTTCCAGACTTGTTATTCCAGAGAATGTAGTATTGTTTTACATGTTTATAAGTGTGTTTAATAAAATGTAGGGGCCTTAAAAGTTGTATCTATGATTATACTGTTACTCACACACTTTAAAACCAACCAAGGGAAATGAGTACTTAGACAAAGTAAAAACCTAGTATGTTTGTTATTCTTCAAGTAGCCTAAATTAATAGTCAAACAACTAAAAATTAGATTATTGCCAGCTTATTTTGTGAAATTAAACTTTTGTTAGTCATGGCTTTATTTTACAAATTTTGAAAACCATTAGGGAATGAATAAAAATAAAAATTCTATTCAGATAATATAGTACTACTGCATTAACAAGTAACATTTTATTCACACTAGCAGCAGTAATGTTTCATTTTTACAATGATGGTATGGTATCAGTTCACTTTTAAAAGTTATCTAAACACTGTTACAAAATTTTAAGTATTTTTTTACATAAAAGAAGATACTTCAACTATAATACAATAGTATTTGGGATTCATCAATCTTGACCATATAGTCTTAAAGTAGCCTAAATAAGTCAAAGAAAGTTAAAATAACATTAAAAAATTCTGTAAATGATTATCTCAAGTCAGATTATAATCCAGCAATTTCAAAGCTTACATCTTTATTTCAGGTAATGTGATTCATATGAAATAAAAACAGTTAGAAACAAAAACTTCAATTTTTTTAATTAAATAGTTATAATTATTTATAATCATGCTTAGAAAAAAAACTAATAGCATTGATAAACATGGTGTTTGTTTCAATTTTTTTTAAATCGTTACTTAAACAGTCATACCACTTGCATTTTCATTTATTTTAGACATCACAATAAGAAAAACATCTTTCTCAAGAGAATTCTAGCATCTAAGTAGTGAAAAATCAATTCTGTTACAACTCTATAAGAGCTACAAGTGTCTTAAACAATACAAACTAGAGAATTCTAAGTGGTGAAAAACCAATTCTGTAACAAGTCTATAAGAGCTACAAGTGTCCTAAATAATACTAACTTTGATGAAAACATATCTCTAACGTGTAGACACATTGTTGGTGTCTGGAAAAAGTCAAGGCACAAAATTTACCATGGTAACATTTAATTAATATTCATATTGTTATATTAGCTTAGCAATAAACAGTTATTGGCTTAGGCCTAAGCTTGACTGCTGCAGATTCCAACTGTGTTGATTTCACAAAAACTTCAAAAAAAAAAGTTTTATAGAGGTTAATAGCCCAAAGAAATAAAAACATTGACATGTAATGTTTCTTTTTGATACTATATAGTAGTTTTAGGATGTCTAGCTGTTTTAATATAATTTCTGAAAAAAAAAAATGGAAGAGGGGGATTTGGACCCACTAGATCTGCATCTTCCCTATACATTTTGCATTAGCTCCACAACTGCTTAAACAACTTTATTAGATTTTCAATAACAAAGACAAGGCACACAATTTTAATGGGAATCACACCCGAGACTCTCAAATAACGAGGCATCCCCCCCTCCATTGTGTAGCTTTGTGCTTAACATCAGACAAGCATAACTGCAACATTTTGATCACTTGGATAGTTGGAGTAATCAAAAACTTTAATAATTAGAACAACTAATTTCATTTACTTGAATATTTTTGTTACAATCAATGTAATCATAATTTCGATTGACCTTCTCACTACAGGCTTGGATGATTACACTGATCTTGTGACCCTAAAGCGACCATCTGGGTTTCCATACTACAACTTTTAGAATGTTTCCTGTACCTTCATGAAATTTGCAAGCTTTTAGTAAACATTACAAATCTTTTATACACAAAATATCAGATTTTTAAATTATTTTTACTATAAATTTGTCCATGAAAACATGGAGTCAGAGTGTTGACTGCTCTGAATGCAAAGCGACTTTCATGTTAAAATTAAAAATACTTTTTTACCTGAAAATTGTCAAATTTCATTTGTGTAATCTCTAAAGCCTCTTAACTCTATGACATAGATGCCATTTTTAACCCCTTTTTGTGAATGTCACTGAGTTACATTCAAAATTTAATTAAACCACTTTACTATCAACATATTTTAATGAAATTATTATTATCATGTACATCATAGTTGAAAGTTTTATATTGTCTTAGTTTTTATTCTTTTATTTGAAAAAAAACATTGAAAACAACAATGAAATCTAGCAGATTTGTGTCATGTGATGCGAGCTATAAACAATGTAGAAATTTGGTGAATTATAGCTTGAAGCATAACCAAATAGTCATGTACATGTACGTTGATACAAAATGTAGCTTACTTGCCTTTTTGATCAGTATGGTTCAAGGT